CAGAATTCAAAGTAGTTTCTAAATTGTGTTCAGTTTCTGAAGTAAATTTGGTTGTTTTGTATCCGATGAATTATTGGACATTGAATTCAAGTTCGAGGGTAATCAAATGATGTTTTAAATGATATATTGATATGGCACGAAAATCGAGGTAATACATTACTACCTGTTTCATGCTTTATAGAACATATTACTATTGATTCCTGCATGGATAATATAATTGGTCACCTATATGTAGTGATTATTTCCTAAACTTGATCCAAATACTATCAAATGTTAGTAAATGGATAGGACTTATATGACTTTCTTAAGAAAATGGGAAATCAATCAGAAATAATAATAATAAGCTTGGTGATTCAATAATGAATGAATTGACTTCATGATCCATAAATTTTGATTAATTACTTTCAAGGATAAATAACATGAATATTTGGATAAGATGTTACCTAAAATAGCCCTAAGGGGTAAAATTATGAAAATTTCCTTGTACTGGAAAAGGACCCAGACGTGTCCTAGTTGTGAAATTAACCTCTAGTGCGCAAATGTGCAAGTTCTCTGAACTTTAATGGATCATGAATAATTTCAATCCTAAGATACCCGAAGTAATGCCACTGATGGAATTGAATAAAAGTACGATAATACCCTTAAAGAATAAAAAAGCGATATGGATGATTATAATAATGGAGACGACTTGAGAACTCATATCTTGATTCACTTGAATCTTGGAATCATTGATTTAAAATTTCGGATCTATATTGGATTTATAGAAATGCCCTAAAGTGTAAAATGACCTAAATACCCCTAAAGTGTTAAATGGCCTAAAGTATTTCCAAGCCTTGGAATGGCTAATATCCTTAACTCTGAAATAAATAAATCAACATTGAATACCATTAGTATTATTTGACCAAGTTAAATGGAATGGAAGTACTGTATGTATTTGAATTTGAGGAACGACCGAATTACTCAGGAAATTTTTAAGCGATCAGGATAGCTTTAAATACTAATTGAATTAAGTACCCTGATGACCTTGAATTAAGTGAATAACTTGGATAAGTATGGAAGACTGACAATTTTACATGTTGTATTGTCCCTAAAGGTTGTAACCACGAATTAAAGTACATCGATAATTCTTAATAATGTTGCAATATGGAAATTAATTAAAGACTATTGGAATATCTGCTAGTTTCCTTAAGATATATTCAACTATGATTCTAAAGATGATATAAAGACAAGAATTGTTGGTATTATATATTGAATACCATGGAAGGGCAATGAATTGATTAGTCGACATGCATCAGCTTTGGGAGTTCTTCAGCTCGAGTTATTTCAATAATCTGATAGATCGACTCAGATTATAAATATTTCGGATATTCGTTTTCCCTTATCAGCTCAAATCACTTCGGTTATATCTTATTACACAAGTAACTCAGATGCAAGGATACTAAATACCCTATTTGGTTCATTGGACTTAAATCCTGATAATTCAATATAATATCTTGAATACCCCAGATTGTTTGAGTAATGGAATCAATCTCCGTAAATTTGAATATAGAATTTATTCAATATAAAGGATCTTGAAAACCTTCCTGATGCACCTAAATCATAGCGGGATTCTAAAATATCAACTCTAAATGTCTGATTAGATCTATTAGTAATCGATCCCCTTCAATTGGACATCATTCCTGGAATCCGATCAAACTACATAAGTTTCATGTTTTCCATTCATGATAAATTACCAACTACTTCTGATAAATACATGGATACTCTAGCGTATTCCTTATGTAACATGTAAATGTTTTACTTATTTTAAAACACGATTTTTCGAAATCACTGATTGAATGATTTACTGACTGATGAACTATGACTGCATGGTATATGTTCTCTGGTTACTTGTTTTCACTAGAAAATATGAATTGTTCATGATTTATGGAATCATGGAATTTACTGGTTTATGAACTATGGTTTCCTATTTTCACGAGTTCTACTCGAACTGTTTTATTGGGATATTATCTGGGTAGACTAGAGTATGGAGGTAATACTTTGATCAAGCTGGTAAATCCTTACGGACCTACGGTGACCCTTGGGTAGGCTCTCAGGCCCCAAGGCACTCACTTGGGTTAATTATGGAACTATATATGGTGTACAGGTGGAGATCATTTATATGATTTATTTCATTATCACGGTTATGAGATATTACTGGATCAGGATCCATATATTATGGTTTATGGTTAAAATTGATTTATAATGGATTTTTATGAGTAGGATTTTAGAGTATGGAGGTACAACCCTGATGTAGTTGGTAAATCCTTATGGACCTAAGGATACCCTTGGATAGGCTCATAAGCCCCAAGAAATACTCTTAGGTTGGCTTCCTTTGTTGTGTGCTTAGGGTAAGCCCTTATGGATGCAGTTATGGGGAACTGTATAATGGAGTTTGGTTGGAGGGTTTTGTTATGGTTTTAAAAAGATTTATATCTTTTCACTGGTTTTTATTGGAACACACTAGGCATCATATTCAATCTTATGAAACTTGATACTATGAATATTTCCTATGAACTGAGATCTTTGTGACCTCTACTTGATGAACTACAAGTGGAACCCCAGCTTATCCCGAAAACCTGTATATGTCTGTTTAAATAAGGAAATTATATGGGTTTCCATTTATCTGCATGTCCTGTAGCATCAATAGGTAGTTTTGTATTTCTGAGCTTCCCAAAGCTCACTCTGTTACTCACCATTTCAGGTTAAAGAATCGTACCAGTGCAGCTATTGACTTCTATAGGGGAGTTCCACCGGCGTTGCTTGCGGAGTACGGTGTATAAGATTAGGGGCATGTAGGTTGTATTTTGTTTTAATATCTGAGTTTGGAAAACTATTTTATTTCTAAATACTGAAAAATTTTACTTTTGTATTTATAAATCATTTTATGATTTTACATTTTTTAATCAAAATGTTAATTTTTTTGAGATTTTTACGGTGAGTAGCTCCGGTGGCCTTAATGTGACACCCCGGATCGGATTGGACCACCCATATCGGTCTGATGGGGTTATAATTATTCTGATGTAAATGTTCCTGAACACCTTTCTGATGCACCTGAAACATAAAAGGGTCTTGAAGTATCAACTTTAAATGTCTGATAGATCCGTTAGTAATCGATTCCTTTTAATAGGACCCCGATCCTGAAATCCAATCAAATTACATAAGTTTCATGTTTTCCATTCTTGATAACTACCAAGTGCCTCTGAAAAATACTTGGATACTCTAGTGTGTTCCCCATGTATAACATGATTGTTTTATATGTTTTGAAATATGTTTCACAGAAATTTATTGATTTACTGGCTTAGGAACCATGGCTACATGGTATGTGTTCTCTGATTAAGGTTTTCACTAAAAAAATATGATTGTTCATGATTTATGTAATCTTGGAATTTATTGGTTTACGAACTATGGTTTCCTATTTTCACTTGTTACTACTTGAATTATTTTATAGGGACATTATCTGGGTAGGCTGGAGTATGGAGGTTCAGCTCTGATCAAGCTGGTAAATCCTTACGGACCTAAGGTGACCCTTGGGTAGGCTCTGAGGCCCCGAGAAACTTTCTTGGGTAGGCTCTCAGGCCCCAAGGCATTTCTTTGGGTTAATCATGGGACTACTTATGGTGTACAGGTAGAGGGTAGTTATATGGTTTATTTCATTGTCACGCTTATGAGATTTTATTGGATTACGGTCCAGATCTTACTATTATTGTTAAATATGATTTCTACCGGATACTGTATGAGTAGGATTCTGGAGTATGGAGGTTCAGCTCTGAACAAGCTGGTAAATCCTTACAGACATAAGGATACCCTTGGGTAGGGCCCAAGGCATTCCTTTAGGGTGGCTCCCTTTGTTGTGTGTTGAGGGTAAGCCTTTATGGATGCAGTTCTGAGGAACTGCATAACGGTGTTTGATTGGAGGGTTCTATTATGGTTTTGAAATATGTTTTAAACAATTACTGTTTTAAAAAGATATATATCTTTTCATTGGTTTTAATGGGAACACACTAGACATCCGAGTTCAATCTTCTGAAAACATGGTACTCTGAATGTTTCCTATGAACTGAAATCTTTATGACTTTTACTTGAAGGAAATACCAATGGAACCACAGTTCATCCTGAAAATTTGTAGACATCTGAATCAACAAGAAAATATTTTTTTTCATTTATCTGCATGTCCTTCAGCATCATCTGATAGTTTTGTATTACTAAGCTTCCCAAAGCTCACTCTTTTACTCACCATTCTAGGTTAAAAGAATCGTACAAGTGCAGCTATTGACATCAGTAAAGGAGTTCCACCAACGTTGCTTGTGGAGTACTGTGCATATGATTAGGGGGCATGTAGGTTGTATTTTATTTTATATATGAGTCTAAAATCAATTTTATTTCTGAATATTGATAAATTTTACTTTTGTATTTATAATTTTTTTATGATCTTAAATGTTTTAATAGGAATTTTAATTTTTTCGAGATTTTTACGGTGGGTCGTTCCGGTGACCCTAATGTAACACCTTGGATCGGATCACCCGCATCGGTATGAGGGTTATATTTATTATAAGTTTGTGTAAAGCTTAAGTAACGAGTATGAATAGAAAAGCGGAAAGGCATCCTCCTGTCTTTAGCCCTTTGCACATCAAAAATTATTTTATTGGAGATCCGTTTAGAAGAATTGAGGCCCTTGCAGTCGAAATACATTCAAACACCCATTAGCACCATTTTTGTCCGAACCTCGTAAGTCAGCAGAAAGTCCCATCGCACGCAATCATAGGCTTTTGAAAAACCAAATTTTAGAATAATACCCCCTCTCTTACTAGCTTCGGTTTCCAGCGTGTGGATAATTTCACTGGCAATCAGGATGTTGTCGAAGATTTCCTGCCTTTGATGAATACACTATGAGTTTCGCTCACTATTTTCCCCAAGACTATGCAAAGTCTATTCGAGAGCACCTTGGACACGACTTTGTATATTCAACTGATCAAGCTTGTGGGCATGTACTCTGAGATGTTCGCAGGCGTTGTTGTTTTTGAGATAAGGGCAATAAACGATGAGTTGATGTTTTGAGGCAACTTGCCCGAAGTATTGAAGTTTTCCAAGATCTCCAATAAATCCTCCTCCACCATATCCCAGCATTTCTTAAAAAACATACCTTTGAAGCCATCCGGGCCTGGTGCCTTAGAATCCCCACAACGCCACACCGCCTCTTTTATTTCCTCCATTGTGAATTGCAATTCCAACATTTCTGTGTCCATTTGTTCTAGCCTTTTGAATTCCATGTTGAGGGAGGTGTCCTCCCAAATGAGTTGCTTCATCCTCTTTGGGCTCGCTTCTCTTCCCAGACCCAGGTTCTGTCCATAAATTTTATTTCTTCTCGATCTTATCTTCACCGCTCTATGGAAGAATTTTGTATTCAAGTCTTCATGCTTTAGCCAATTGATTCTCGATTTTTGTTTCCATAAATTTTCTTGAGCTTTTAGGCTGTCCCGTAAGTGAAGCTTACACCAGATCAGTTCTTCGTGAATATTGGAATCTAAATCCCCCAAGTCACCTAAGCCTACAATTTCGTTAATACGCTTTTCCAGTACCTTCACTCTCGAGTTCAAGTCATCTTCAGCCGCATTCCATGTTTTAAGTGCTTCTTTTACTTTCTTCAATTTTAAAGGCAGAGAAATCCCTGTGCACATTTGCTTTCCAAGTGACTCCTTTATAACCTTCACGCATCCCTCCCTTTCGAACCAGGCATTTATCATTTTGAAGGGTCTTGGACCCCAATCTTCCGTTACACTACCCAATAATAGTGGTATATGATCCGAGACATTTCTTGGTATTCCCTAGACTGTTATATCTCCTCTGGTATGAATCCAATTTTCTTCCAACAGAAATCTATCAAGTTTACCACGAGCACTGCCTGGGCCGATCCAAGTAAATATTCTCCCTATTAGAAATTAAATGTTTCAACCAGAAATCTATCAAGTTTCAACCAGATTGAATGTTTCTATGAAGCAATTAAATTCCTCCATACCTAAGTACTTGGAGCTTCTACCTTTTCTTTCCTCTTTGCTTCTAATTGTGTTGAAGTCGCCACCCATGATCCATGGTTCTTTCCACTGCGCCCTTAAAACCCCAATCTCTTCCCACAGGTTGATTTGTTCTCGAATTACACACGGGGAGTAGACATTTATGCGAGTGCTTGTACTGTCATCTTCAATCCACTTACCAGAGAGTGGTATGAATCTTGGAGAGACCAGGCTAAACTCTGCCTTAGATTTGTTATTGTCCCATACTGTTATCAATCCCCCATAACGACCCACCGCCTCAACAAATTTAAACTTGAAACCATCATCATACCAAAGCCTCCCTATTTCTTTTTCAGTGAACTAATCCCTTTTTGTTTCTTGTATGAAGACCATCTCCGCCTTGTTTACTCTGATTAGTTTTCTTAAGGTTGCTATTTTTAAGACTGAATCCGTGCCCCTAATATTCCATGAGATTATTCTCATTTTAGAGCGTCTTCTCTCTTCTTGTTTTTCAATGACAGCTGAATCTGTTATATTTCCTTACAATTCCGCTCTAAAGATTCTAATCTAGCAATTTCTCTTATCGTCTCATTTTCATCTCCTCTTATTTCCATGCCCAGTGTCTTTCCCAGATTGAGTGCTTGCTTTGCCTCCCTCGTGAATCTTTCCCATCTTACTTTCATGTTAGAATCAGATAGAGAGCGTCTTATTTTTATTATTATCCCTGCCCTCCTCAATGAAGCCTACTGTTTGTTTTTTACATGGAACTGAGCCATTTTCTTATGCATTGTTCAGCCCGTCTACCCACTCCACCCAGTTTGACGTTTTCTCAGTCATTGGGTCATGGTCTATTTCTATTTGATCCAGGTTGTTGAGTTCATGTCTCTTGAAGCCCAAACCATTCAAGTCTTCTAGTATCTTGCTTTGCTGAGTCGTAGAAGTATTATTGGGCCAAATTAGTCCACTTCCAGTGGATTTTTTTTCCAGACTAACCCTCCTTTGTGCTATGCTTTTTCCCCTCTAGGTTGCCGTGTGTAGAGTATTTACTGTTAAAAGCTTCTGACTTGCCACTCTTTTTTCCAGACATTGTGTTTTTTGAGTCTCTCATCAGTGGATAGGTCCTCAACGTAGGCCGCCATATCATATTCCCCAATAGATCTGCTTTCTTCTGTTTTCTGGGAATCGAGGTTATCATTTTGATGCTTTCCCATGCTAATTACATCTATTGCTTCGTCCTTTTGGAAGAGGTTGTCCCCCGAACTCTTTGATTTTTCCAACATGCCTGAGATCGGAAAAGTTTCCAACGAACTCTCCTCCACCAATGTTCCGTCGTTCCTGTTTCTATTACTGACAGCTCCTAGTTCCTGATCTTTGGTTTTGTTTGAGTTCGTCCGGGTTAATTCCCTTGTTTCTTCCGATGAGGATGATAAGCCTTCCTTCATTCCCTTGTTTCGTCCGGGTTAATTCCCTTGTTTCTTCCGAAAAGCCTTTTTCTGTTATTAATACTGTAAAAATTACATTGCCAATCTCAATTTCCACCGTTTCATCTATCTTCCTTGGGAATTTTGTGTTGATTAACATGGATATCTTCTCGCCGTTTCATCTATCTAACGGTTGACAGAGGATGTCACCGAGGAAGAAGCCGAAACACTCTCGGCCCTTTTCGTGAAGTTGGGGGCCGAATCTCGCAAAATTAAGCTCAGATCCGACTTCACGACGTCAAGGCGAGCAAAGCCCTAAAATTTGGTGGTCATTGGTCGTTAGAGACGACGACAATCGGCACGGTGGTCGGTGACAATACTATTCATTGGTTTCTTGAAAAGTAGAGAGGGGAGAGAATATGAATGATGAGAGAGAGATAAGAAAAAAAATGAGGAAAAAAAGAAAGAAAGGAGGTATATACATAGCAGACCGAACGACGTCGTTTTGGGCTCCCAGGCGCGCGTTTTAGGATCCGAAAGGTCTAATCCCTTAAGTGATCCTCTTAAGTTCATATAGTTTGCATTTTGGTCACCTATTTCGTTTTATTTTAAATTTATATCCATATCTTGCTATTTTCCATTTTTATTTTCTGAGTGTTAACTTGTTAGTTTATTTGCTCTTAGGTCCTCATACTTTGCCCGTGTGTTGCATTCTTATCATCGTGCTTAAGGACAAATCACGATGGTGGTCCCCCAAAGTTTGGCTTGTCTTGAGTTTTGGCCCTAATTTAAGGGTTAATTCCTTTTTGTCCCCATATATTTACCATTTATTTACAGTTTGGTCATTAATCTTCTTTGTTGTATTTATTTTGAATTTGGCATACTAATTTCATATATTTTTATTTTAGTCACTTATTCATATTTTATTTGTCTTAATTGTGATATATTTCTTCTGATTTGTTCGAATTTAGTCATTGTTTTTTACGTTTATTCATTTTAATCACTGTTTGTGCTCTGTTATTATTTTATTATGATTTTGATATGATATTTGTATTTTTTATGTTTTAGTCACTATTTTATTTATCATTTGATTCACTATTTTTATATTTTATTATGTCTTAATCCTTTATTTTTCAACTTTATTTATTATTGTTTTGGACTATATATTTCATTTTTATTTTAATTATATCACTATAATTTTTATTTGATTTTAACTATGCATTTTATAATTAATTTTAATTTGGTTATATTATTTCTATTAATTGCCTTTAATTTATTTGATTTGCCTTTTAATTTAGTTTAATTTTATTACTTTAATTTTTTTATTATTCATGTCCTTTATTTTTCAATACTTTAAATTTAGTACTTTAATTATTGCTCTTTATTTTCTGTTCATTTCATTTTAGTCCTATAAATATATATGAAAGCCTCATAAGCATAACTCGACTGATTTCATAATTGGATTAAAGACAATATTTATTTATTTTAAAAATATTAAGAAAGGAACGTCTTAAAGTAACTAGATGTCATATTCTGATATTTTAAAATAAATAAATAAATACCCTATTTAGAAATACCTAAAATTTTTGAATATGCCTACTTTAGTTATATTCATTTTGGTTGAATCAAATTATTTTAATATTGAGTTCTTGAGAGAAATTATTATATTCTTTTTATTTCAGTTGGAAAGAGAAATATTCGTCCTAAAGTATTTTAGGGATTATTTTCTCTTCGATTGGAAATATTAGAATATTTTATATTTCTTCGTAGAATTTCTCGTTAAATAGAAATTGTATGGTTAAATTTGGAATAATAGGATCGTAACTTAAATTTATATTCGAATTCTTAGATTTCCACTATTTGAGACAAATTATAATCGATGGGATACCAATTTTGGGCATTGTGGGGTGCTTATCCTTCCCCACACGTAATCGATCCTCGAACCCATTTTTTATTACAAAAAATAATAAATCTCTGGTTACATGCAGATTAGTGTATCTTTTAAAACGATTTTTTCTTAAAAACTCTTTTAAAAGAAAATTTTTAGGTATTCAACCTACCTAACTCAAAAGGTAGATGGCGACTCCAAAACATTTCAAAACATTTTCAAAGAAAACCCCCCAAGTCGTACTAAGTTTTTTCCCGCCTGGGTGAAAAATGGTGTCGACAGCTTGGTGACTCTGCTGAGGATGTAATGGATCAAGCCCTAAATCGATTATATATTGTCTCTATAGTTGGAAATTGAGAATTCAATTTTATTTAATTTACGATTCTTTTAATTTCTTTCAGTTCTTTTAATTTTATATCCTTGTATACTAATGTGTGTATTTGATTGATTTTTAGATATTAAAATCTTGGATTCGCTTTAGTTCGTTTTTTGTATGGTTGTTTCTCAAAGGTTTGAGAATTTCTCCTCATACACGATACTTACATTGCATAACATAAACTCTATACCCGAGCTCTTCCTTTTTATAAATAGGAGTGAAAATGACGTCTTCATGAGAATTTATTCTCCATGTCAGACCTAGCAAGTAGCTTCCAGGGTTCATATGCCCTATATCTTCGTGAGGATTTATTCTCCATGTCAGGCATAGGGAAATGTGCCCTCTCAAATATAACTCGATCGGATTAAGCCTATAATGGGTGATGATTGAGGGTTTGGCTCGCCCAAGGGGGCACCGACAAGGACAATTTGAGTACCTTTACTCTTAGAACCAAAACTTTGCATATAGTAAACTGTAGAAACCCACCCGATCTAAGACCATGTTAAAACTCTATCCGTAGGTACCCAAATAAATGTACACAAAGGAGAAATAAACTCTAACCTTCACCTTTTTATTTATTCGATAGATTATTTTTGAATAAATGCATGTGAATTAGAGATTATGCGGTTAGGGTTTTAATTTCCTCTGTGTGTTTTATTCACTGTATTTTATGGTTCATTTATCAATTGATTTTTTTTTCATATTTCACTAACTAACATTTCCTCTCTTTGATTATTATTTTTGTTAACATATTTTTCTTGCCATGTTGCTTTATTTTGTGCATAAACATGTTTTTAATACCCGAGTTATTTATCAAAATTAGAAGGCTTTTAAAACAACAATGTCACACGAAGGGGTAGATATTTTTTATCCACTTTGACATATTGGGACGTTGTGAGTTATTTGAAAGTTGTTCTAGGATAATTACCTTGAAGTTAAAACATGTTTCATACATATAATGTCATAGAAAGTATTGATTACTGAGTTAAGAGTCGCGTTAGAAGGCTTTCAATACAACAATGTCACTTGAAGAGGTAGAATATAAATG